GCCAGCCGAGGGGCAACAGAGTCCTGAAGGGAATGTCCAAAGCCGAAATCGTAGCAGAACCAAGTTCACAGACCAAAAGATCAGAAAGCCGATGAGGTACAGAGGGGGAATCCATGAATAGTTGCTAACTTGCTTAGCCTATTGCTTCCTCGTTTACTCCCTGTGCACGTACATTACTGTACCTCCAGTAACTTTGTGTTGCTATTTTAAGTATACATGAATGGCATTATTTACTAAAAAACAGAGAATAAGAAAAGCATAAAAAAAAAAAAAAAACGTGGTGGGTTTTTCAGAAAAACTTTGTATGCAACTGTAGAGACCTAATAGCAAATAAGTCTATGCCCGTTTAATGCTTTCTTTTCCCAGCCTGTCAGTTTGGATGGACGGCTAACGTTGGCAAGCTTGCAGATGTGCATTTACCCTTTTACTTTCAAAAGATTGATCAAACAGTGCTTTGTTTGAAATGAAAATATTGTGACATTATTCAATAACCTAAGCCTGCTTTAATTGATGTGCTCTCTTCATTCTCTGACATGGAAGCTGGCTCAGAGCTCTGTCTGCCTGGCTGCGTGATTCCTGGACGGGGCCGCCTTTTACAGTTGCTTTTGGTATCTCTGCTTCTGTCTCCTTGAACCCCAGTTGGCCTCGGCAGATGGCCGCTCACACTGAGCCTGGTTCTTCTGGAGGTTCTTCCTGTTAAAAGGGAGTTTTTCCTCTCCACTGTCGCTACAAACATGCTTAGTGAGAGGGATTGCATCGAGTTGATGAGTAAATGCAATCAACTGGTTTACCTTGGATAGAAAACTTTGAATCAATTTGACTTTATGATCTGGTGAACTGTAAAGTGCCTTGAGATGACATGTGTCATGAATTGGCGCTATAGAAATAAACTGAATTGAATTGAATTTATTCTGAAAAGATCCATTGAAGCTTGAGGTCGCAGGTTGAGAACACTTTCACTGGTTTTTGAGGGAAATTTTGCATAGCCATGCATGCTACTCTGTACCATTCCTTTTTCATTTGGGTGTTTTTCCCATCAACAGATTTACAAGTCATGCAAGAGGTACCTTTGTGTACTTTAGATGCTGCAGTGTAAACTATGTGGTTTGCATAAGACTGACAAACTGACTGTGCAAAAGTTCTCTATCACTCAAGCCCTATTGTTTCCAGGTATTGAATGTACAAGGGTTTGATAGTCAAACTATGGCAGAGGATTTTCTGCTCAACAGAATATATTTATTCACCAACCCTGAAGCTGAGCTGAAATATGAACAAAAGGACTCCAGCTAAGCGCAGGTAAGACATCATTTCTTTGAAGCACAATTATCTGGATTTCTGAGTCAGGTTAGAATAGTGCAAATATGCCAATAACTCTTATTCAAACATACTTTTTCTTGGGGGAAAAACAAATTTATTTTGTTTATTTGGTCTGTATTATTTAATTTGCTTTTGGTAATGTTTAAATAAATGTGTTCTTGGTGAAGAACTTTTCCATAAAGTCAATAATCAACGATTATTTACTTACCAATGCAGTTTACTATTAATTCACAATTTTTAGAGGGATTTAAAAAAGGTAGAAAACTATTAGTTGTGTTAATCTGGTGACCTCTCTATGTCTTTTATCTTTAGATCCTTAAGATAAACCTCTATACTCATAATGGATGGGAAGTCTTTAAAATACATGCTCCTAATTGGTAAGTAACATTTGTAGATTTTGCATTTTATCAAACAGATGAAATCTACATTTATAGTGTCCTATTTAGATGTGGTCAAGAATGTAAAATGTTTTCGGTTTGTTTGTTTTCTATGATCAAAACAGATGTGGTTGGATAATGATCAGCTGAAGGCTTCTAACTACACTTTGTGGAATTCCTGATAGTACAGAATTACAGTAGTAATACGTAATTGGGAGGTCTTATTTGATGTAAAGCTGGAAATCCTTAGTTAATTGAATGCATCGTCAAACCATAAGGAAACATAACAAATGGTCGTATACAATAAAAAGATCACTGTGAAATTATGATAGGGTTTCCAATACAATTTAACAAAACAAATAACAGTAATATTGTGAAATGCATTTTGCAAAATACTTATGGTAGATATTTGTTAGGTTTATTCAATGATGATTATAAAATTAATGTGTGTTTATAAAACATTTGTGCGAGGGGATGCTCCACTCCTGTGTCATGATTCAGTCAGGAGACCATATCAATTGTTCTGTCAGAACAATAGTCTGTTTGTAACCATGTGTCATGTTCTGTTAATAAAACGCTCTGCGGAGGAGGTCCAGTGGGAGACAGTGTGTTTGAGTCTCACTGCAAAAACGATATAAAAATAAGTAAAAATTTCTTAAATTAAGTGTATTCACCCTTAATTTGAGCAGGTAAATGAAATAGTTTGCCAATGGAATGAGCCATTTACTCTTAAAATAAGATAATTAGATAATATGCACTTGAAATAAGACAATGCAATTGTGTTTTCTTATTTTAAGTGTAAATTGTCTTGTTCCATTGGCAAAATGTCTCTTTTACCTCCTCAATTCAAGAAAAAATACAGTTATCTATATTTAGATTTTTTGCAG